CACCTGCTGATTCCCCTCCTGTGTTAGAGCCCTTTTTCGCCGTTTTCGCGCTTTCCAATGTGGATTTTCCGATTCAGCATGGCGAATAGGCCCGTATAAGCACAAAATCTCAAAATCGACTTTTTGCCCGGACACTGCCTCTAAGATCGAAGCTGCCCGGTAAAAGAAGTTGTTGCGTTGCAGCGAGATATTGTACCTTCCAAACTTAGAAAAAACCAAGTTAAAGGAAGGTCTGCGTTCACTAACAGGTCGGAAAACTCAGTATCTACTGGGTTCTAAACCCACCTCGCCTCGTACAACTTTGCAAGCCATCAAAACATCTCCCAAAAACCTTTTGTAGAAAAGAGTTACCCAGTTCTCGTATTCTAGTTATATAGTCTGGTAACTCGAAAGGGTAATTCGAGTAAGGAAATGCGCGGTAAAAAACTACCCTAGTGAATATTTTATTGGATTTTTTTATCTTGATAATATCTCTTTTAACGTAGGATTCCACACATAGCTGCAATACTCTACAACTTGAAGAACCATAGTTTTAAAGATTTTAGGGAGAAATTCGGGATCAGAGGATTGAACAATGCGCAAAATCGTAAACAATATTCGAATCCCTTTAGATACGATTTCGTCAATATGGTATGAATATTTTAATTTAGATGTAAGAACACCCAAGTTTTTGACCAAAAACTTGCATTCAAGATGAAAGCTACCATTTGGGTGAAACGGGGTTCTGCTAGGAACAGTGCAGCTTTTGGAATAAATCACTTTGATATTCCATCTATCTGCCCAATCAATCATTAGAAATTAAGGTGCGGAGTGCAGCATGAGCATTTATACCTTATCGCGCTGGTCATGGACGATATATATCTTAACATCATCAGCGTACGCAGCAACTCTAACATTGAATCTGTGATGGGAGTGGTTGGCAAGTCAATAGGATATAAAATAAGGAGATTCGGTGACAGAATACTGTCTTGGGGAACTCCAGATCTGCACGATCTAGTCGTCGAAATTCTGTCAAGTACACGAACAGAGGAAGTTCTATCATGAAGATATGATCAAGCCATCTCAGTTGTAACCCTCTGATTCCCAAGCTCTCCAGCTTAGCCAAATGAAGATTATGATCCACTGTATCGAATGCCTTACTCAAGTCAAAATAGACCACGTCTATAGACTGATTTCGACTCAATGCTTCTGTCCAATAAAACTGGACATCAAGAAGCTGGGTTCCTGGATCGGCCTTGTAAAATTCTGTGCTGCTGCTCACGAAGACATTGTATTTTATCAAGCCAACGCAACAGATTTTCAACAGATAATCTCTCCAAAATTTTGCAAGGTGTCGGGAGAACACTTATTAGTCTATAGTCGGAGAGCTTGAGACTAAGGGCCGCATGCACTAATATCCCCGAGGGGAGGGGATCGCAGCTTCAGAAGAAAGCTTCATATCCTGAAGCTCCGGATATCTGGATTTCACGCTGTCTACCTATCCGTATGTTTCCTACTACCCTTCACTATAAACATGTTGAACAGGAGCGAGAAGCTGTACAAACCGCATTTTCCAGCTTTTGTATGATCCCTGATGATCCCCGGCGCTTTTCTTCAAAGTCATTTTTCTTTCTCCGAAGTTAACGAAAACCTTCCAAAGTAGTACTGAACATCTAACACAACACTGCTAAGCATGTTGCTGATGAGAACAAATGAGTTTTTGAAAAGTCGAATTTTTCGGTAAGCCTCAAATTTCGACCTGTGGATCATCGTAAATTTCATGACTATAAAACATCATTTGTTCTTATCAGCAACATGCTTAGCACTGTCGGGTTAGACAATCTGCACAACTCTGGAGATTCTTCGTTAACTTTGGAGAAAGAAAAATGACTTTAAAGAAAAGCGCCGGGGATCATCAGGGATCATACAAAAGCTGGAAAATGCGGTTTGTACAGCTTCTCGCTCCTATTCAACATGTTCATAGTGAAGGGTACTAGGAATACTTACGGATAGGTACACAACGTGAAATCCAGGTATCTGGAATTTCGAAATATAAAGCTTTCTTTTAAGCTGCGATCCCCTCCCCGCGGGGATGTTAGTGCATGCGGCCCTAAGAGATGTCTTGGGGAAAGGGGTGATAATGGCTGTTTCCAAAGGTGAGGCACTTCTGCATTCATCAAAGATATACTAAATATGTGGGATAACGAAAAATATGGTTTATTTTAAAGGTAATGGATAATGTTGGGCTTACTAATGATGTGATGATGCGTGTAAAGCGGTTTCGTCTCTTGGTCACGAAATGACTGATAGCTTTCCCACCGCCCCAGAATTTGCGGTAACGCCTCGCATCGACGTGTGTGGTCGATCAAGTCCAAAATTGGGCTTCAATGTATATAGAGCGGTCGGAAATTTGATGACTAAGATGAAAAGCGGATTTCCAACATATACAGTTACTCTAAAACCAGATTGTGAATTTTTATTCTTCAGACCACACACGTTGATGGGAAGATCCAACATAACCGTTACATTCTGCAGCAAGCTCCTCGTTTCGCTTCGTTTTTGCAGCGAGACTTGATCAGGTCCCCGTTGTTGCAACGCACCAGAATCTCACCAATCTCAATTGAAAAGTTGCCTTTGAGAGCTAAGCTAGCAGTATGTTGTGTTAAGACTATTCAGTGATTAAATACCTAGTAATAATAACTGTGACACGACTGAAAAAAGAGCAAGATCGTGCTTATTCTTTATCGAAGTATTAGTTTTAGAAAGTCTGGAAAAAGCAAAAGAAGAAAAACCAGGAGATCTTTTGGTGGTTCAAAATGAATGACTTGACGCAGTGTCGGGCAGATTTATTATGCTATGTGGAAGTGTTAGCCATGCTTGAGCATAGCTCGTATAACTCATTCGCGGCCGAGAAAAACCTTGTGTCCCTCTCGTTAATGTTCAACAGACCAATTTGCATACTTACTAAGCAGAAAGTACGGGTCATTTATAAAATCGTGATGACAGATTCGACTGCGGTCTTTGCGGCCACAGGAGCATAAAACTCTCATACAAAAAGGCATCATCTCAAAGCTCAACTCAGTCACTTCCATGTCCAGATACTACCACACGTAAGCAGAGAACCATTTGAGTAGAGATGAAAACCGAGGAAATGCGATTGTCCAAAGTGCGTGCGTCTCATCCGCAGTTGCGCTATCGTCACGATTTTTCGAATGGCTTATACGGACTACTTATTTATTTACTTTACACGCAGTGTGCCCGAAAAAAGAGAAAGCAAACATCAAACAAATAGAACATAGGAACAGAACTAGAACACACATGTAACCCAACGTCTCATTGAAGAGCTTAAGACTATCCCCAGCACTAGTGAACTGCGGTAAAAGAACACGCCTACAGTTACAGCAAGAAACGCAACTGGTAGAATGCAAAGTTGAGCATTTAGTTGGAACGGGTAAGCAGCAATGGGAATGCTATCACCCTCAATTGAATATACTAGTAGTGCGAGTTTGACTTGAAAACAGGGCCCATCACGAGGTCGGCAAATGACAAGCTGGAAATCGTTTTGGGGCCAAAAAGCAAAGGGGAAATCGTTTTTGAGGGGTCCGGGGCGAAGCCCCGGAAAAAAATTGGTAGTTCATGCTCGCTACTTATCTTGAAACTATCTTGACATGTTATGTGCCTCAACAGGCGAACATGGAGTTCGCGCGCGTCAAACCGCGCCGTCGCTGATTGCCGCACGCGCGACGTCGCCCAAGCGATGCTATTTGTAACAGCATACATGACTAGTTCTCAATGTATGTGTAACGATATGACACCAAATTTTGTATGCGAATGTATGAGAGAGGCTACTGGAAACGTAGTATGAAAAATTGTGAAAAACTTATGTGAACGGAACGAGTAATTAGCATTTTTTCGGAGAATTTCGCAAAACTGGTAAACGAAGATGTGAATTCAAACGGCTCGTTCAAACGCGCAGATGAACGACATGGTATGAAACTTGGTAAGTACATGCACACGGGCTTGCAGGGCTTAACTGAGGAGTTTCACTGAAAAATTATGTAACTGAAAGTTGTGGCAAACTTTTTTCTGAAAATTCTGCGCTACCAAAGAAATGGAAAAATGGCTCGTTTGCAACGCAGAGGTAATGAAATCGCGCGGGATTCGTTGTGTATATGCGCAATAGGACTAAGTAATAAAGTATGAAATATTATGAAAAACTTATGTGAATGAAGAGCGTGCTTAACTAATTTCCAAATTAGGTCGGCATTTGCCGACCTAATTCCCACCTGAGGTCGGCAAAACTCTCAATTCACATAATTTTTTCAAAATTTCTACATAAATCTGTTGTACACCTAAAGTTTACTACATGGTGAAATTTTGGTTCCGAAACTCCTCCTCTTGTCCTTGTTAGAGCCCAAAATCGCATCAGCAGCCTAGCTTTCTAAGATGGAAAGCGCGCCCCAGTCAATCGATACGCGCGGGAACGGCGTCTCTCATTCCTATGACTGCGTTTCTTTGATATTTTCTCATTCCTTAATCATTTTTCTTGTTTATTTTTCTTCCTGTTTCCTATCTTGATACAGCTGAGCAGTAATTTGAGGAATTTGAGCAATTTGGGCGCTTTTGAGCGCTTTTAGGCGAAGTGTGGCCGGTAATCTCGTCGCACAAGCACAAAACGTCATTTTTGGGCTCAAGGGGGTATTGGTAAAATTTATTGGGATCAAAAAGCAACTCGTTTTGGAAAACCCCGTTTGCCCACCTCGTGCCGGGCCCTGCTTGAAAAAAAGTGTGATCTGCTTGGTAGCTATAAAAAGGTCCAACTGTGAGAGCTAATCAGTTCTCAGAAACTAGACCACAATTTTTAGACAGCGCTACAAATTCAAAAATGTACTGTACCTGCGAATTAGGCTCACGAGATGGTGACACCGCCAGTAAACCGCAAACACAAAAAATTTTGCTCAAGTAACAGATATCTCACTTCATACGCTCAAGCTCTCACAGTTCTTCCACGTGCTTTTCATCAGGCACAAGCTCTGCTGGGTTCTACTCTTTTAGTCATGATGGAATGCTTTATACGTAAAACGCAAATACTTAGCCTTGGCAAAATGAGATGACTGAATTAGTGAGATATAGGACACAGATATGTTTACTTGCATGTAAAATCAAAAGAAGGCAGTTTGTCTGCCACCCGTTCTAAGACACTTCCCAATGACGAAAGTACCCGTAGTTGCTCTCGTTGAACTTCTTTCGCCACCACAAAATAGGCTTTTTGGGCCTAAAAAAAATTCGTGGTTTTCAAAACTCATTTAGTGACATATGTCTGATATCTAACCTTCAGCATTTCTTGCAGAGACGTCTTCAAACATTCATTATCAATGGTGCAAGGACAGGACTGCCGCGTAGCATTTCTGGAACCGCATTCGCGACAAACGCCATTTTCCTGTGGACGTTCCGTTGAGTCGCCTGGCCTCGGTCTTTTCCTCGAAGATGGCGCATACTACAAAAGTGGTAGGTAATAACGGTGGATGTAGGTGGAGAGGAACGGGGAGGGGGGAGGGAGAGCCCATATACCTGAGAGTAAATTACAGTCACAAAATTGTGCAAAGAACTCTTTTTGTTTCTTGGTAGCTGAATTGGCAAAAATTTCAGGAAATCAATTTGCACACCTCTAGCCAAAAAAGGTTTGAACCATTTTTCATCAAACGATTCAGAAAGTTCTGCGATCACCAGTGTCAAATGATCGAAAATTACCTCATTTGGAGACAGAGTTTTACGCAGTATGTACGTCCCAAGTTCCCTTTCTCGTGCAGAAAACTTTTCTTCGGGTAGACACTTGCTCACAATGCTCTGTATATACCGAGCGAATCCGTGCACTGAGAAGATGTCGGTCCTGCAAATGCAAAGCAATATACGTTTCGGTAAATTCAGGAACATGGCCACAAATAGCATCTCATTTTTTTGCTCCAGCTTATACTATTTTTGTGAAAATGTTATAATTGAAATTTTTAAAGCATTTTTATTTTCATCGGCGGCAGATGCAAAGGAGTTATGCACGTTGACGTTTGAACCTTGCTGACATTCGCTATTCATCATGCAATTTCTAGATTCCTAGAAGTTCGGCATGAATTCTTTGTCACAGAATTCATGGCATATAGCCTTGTCATAATCATCCTTCTTAAGTTAGGAATATTAGGACGTTTCGAAAATGACATCGCTTGTGTTTTTTTTTAACGAGTGTACATCCCGCAGGACGAAAATCTTGAGCTTTTGAGTTCGATGCAACCTTTCTCTTTCGAAAAATACTTCCCGCATTTCAGAACAACAAACGAGCCTCAGAAAATTACATTGCGAACAAGATTTGACTATTTTCCAAATATTTTACTCGTTACTCGAAGAAGTCCAAGTAACGGATGGATAGAGCAAACCCTACAGAATGCAAAATCTCTTCTCCTTCCCAAAAGTCGCCATTTTTGATGAAATATTTATCAAAACTACTGAAATTCAGAAGGCCCCCTCAGACATTAACGATCAAACACCAAACATCTTAATACGAAACCTCGTAAAGCGGGTTATGCAACGATAATTTTACAAAGTAAATAAGCGTTCACGACTTCGAAAATCAAATGTCGTTGTCAGGTATAGTCGAGGGCGTGTTAACAAACACTTTGATCTCCAAAATATTAAAAATGCCTGCGAGAAAAAGGGAACAAAGCTGCATCGAAAGATGCACGAGCTGCTCGACGGTTAAAGTTAAACGAGGTTTGTGTTGATCAAATAAGAAAATTATTTGAATCAATGGAAACTCTATCAAGAATTATGGCAAGCTATGAAAAAGAGAGCAAATTTATTTAGTATCCTGTAGGGTAGGTCTGCTTTATCTATCCGTCACTTGGACCTATTAAAGGTACGGATTTAGAACTCTGAAAAAGTAGCGGCTTGAACTTAGCAAAAACCATGGGACGCAGTCTTTGGTCATTTCCTGAGTGTTCATTGGTAAATTAGAACGGGGCAGCTGCAATTTTGGAAAGGATGAACAGCTGCGAATGTGCCCAAACCAAAAGATCTGGAAGATCTTAGTTCTGCGATATGTTACGCCCGTTTATAAAAGCGAAATTCCAAATACATCATTTGGGGCATTTAGACTGCGGAAAAGTGCTGTGAAATGCACTTTCAAAAGGATTTCGATAATAAAAATGCCGATATCCAAACTGCAACAAAAAATCTAATTCATTAACTTCCATACCATACTTTGGTAACTTCATAGGCATAAATCGGCTTGCTTGCCGAAATTAATCTTCTAATATAAAACAATCTAAGCAGCTACTCAAGCCACTCAGAGATGAGGCTTTTTGCTTGTCTTATGGGAGTTAGTGACTAAGAATAGTTCCGCAGAAGTTCGAGAATGCACATGGGGGCCTATAGCTAAACTTGGTATAAGCAATTCAATATACGGAATCCAACTCACTTTCCGTGTTGCGACACTATGTCATTGATGTAGACCTGCTTTCTACGAAACAATTCCTTCAACTCCTCCACCGATGGCGTAACTTTCGTAATTGCTCGAATGAATTCATGTACTTCTTTCCAAGCTCTTGCTTTCTGTTTCTCATCACAGCTATCATTGAGCAGCGTATCTTTGCGTGACAACACCTGAAATAATTTACCTACTAAAATGGAGCAGAAATTGATTATAAAAGGAAAGTTAAGGTGAAATAAGGCAATGTGCATTCATTTTCTCTTTTTTTCTTCCTTTCTTCAAGAACAGTGCCCATTCTATGTACCTACATTGTAGTACATCAACGATATGGAAAAGAGAAAATTTATGAAACTTCTCGGCCTTAAATGTACTTACACTAAGGAAAGTACCAACTTTCACGAACGGAGACCCATGTCACTCGATACATATAGAAAAATGATTTTTTTGTTACATGGCAATTGAAGTTTCAGACAATTTATTAAAGAAAATAACAAGATGATTTGATGAATGGTACGCTGATTTTATGTATAAGATTTACAAATTTTGTTTTGAAAAAAAAGGCAGATGTTATTATTTAAGGCGTTAATGCATCGAACCGAGCAAAAAAATTAAGAGAACCCGATGTAATTTTACAGATAATTTACCTAGGAAATTCTGATGATAGTGATTGCTAGAATGAATTAGAGCTTCCTTTCCTGATACTATTCTTCGAATTCTATAATCATTTTCTTGCTTACTTGAGCTCAGGAACTCTCTCAAATTGCTTGAATTGCTGCTGGAAAATCCAACTTCTGACTGAATTAGAAATGACAACCCAAACGAATTTTGTAGATCACTGGAGTAATGAAAATCTGAGTCTTTTCATATGGAAAAAAATGAGGATTTTTCCCAGGAGTTGTGGCCATTAGAGTACATTCAAAAGACTACCGATACTTATGTGGAAAGACCACCCTAAAACAAGCCAAGTGACGACAGAAACAGATTTCAAGTGAAAAAGAAGCAAACAATCACACAGTTCGTGTGAAGATAATAAAAACGTATGGCATGATGTAGGTGACAACAATCATCGACAGGGAGTTGTGGGAGTAGCATAATTTATTGGAGTGAGTCAAAAGTAATGACAACTTCACATCTCTTTTTGCACTGATTTTTGAATCAAATAGAGTATCTATAGACGAATTCTCCGAACATTGGCGGTGCAATTTTTCCTTCTCTTTCCAAAAGCTATGAAATTCAAATAAATCTTTCTATGGTTGCTTCAATAATCGCAGAAGTTTCAAAAAAGCGTCTGCCGTTAAATTCCTATACTGACAACTGCGTACGAAAGTTATTAATTGTGATGTTTTGTAGGCAAGCGCTTAATTATATTGTATCACGGTTTGATAATGAACGATTATCAAAACTTCCGAGCACTGACAAGGAGAGGATACCTAGTCGAAAGCACCAATTCAAATGAATCATATATCATCTTAAAGCGCTTGAAACGCTGATTCCAAATCTATAGTTTCTAGCTGCGGAACGGTTCTGTAGAAGGAGGTATGAGGGGTGTTCCCCTGTGGGGTTGAGGCGCCTCCAGCAGGTCTTCGCTTATCTATGAGCACTGTAGAGGAGTACCAACTGGTGGTAACTGGCCTAGTGGTTGCTTGATAGGGAAAATGTTAAGATTTTAGTCCCTTCGCATGCAACTTTACCGCAATTTTGCAAAATTGAGCTTCTAAATGGCTTTGGAGCCCTAAGGCCTGACAATTCTGTTGATATTGATGCTAATCAAAGGTTAGAAGTGTTAAAGAACCAAAGTAATATGAGTATTATAATCCTTATTGTGATCTTCATTCGGATTACTCACCATTACACCATTTTGTGTTTCTATAATGCTCGTAGACAAGAGCCGACATCTAAAGGGCGCCTCAACCCCAGAAGGAAACACCCTTTATAACTCTTTCTACAAAACCGTTCCGCAGCTAGAAACTACAGATTTGTAATCAGAGTTTCAAGCGCTTTCAGATGATGTATGTTTCCTTTGGATTGGTGCTTTCGACTAAGTATCCTCTCCTTGTGAGGAACTTCTAGGGTTCGTTCGCGCAATTTTTTAAAGGATGAGGACATTGGAAAAATCATCTTACAAAGTCCAAGAAGGCAATTTTGAATGACCTAAAAAGTGTTTGCAGTAAGCAAGGCCTGTTTTGTCTTTATTACTCAAATTTTTCTAGGAACTCAGTTAGCTAAGGCTAACCAAAGCAAAAACAATGGGCTCGAACTTTGGTTTCTCAACAACTATGAGAGAAAATGGTCCGATACCTGACTGCTGAAAAGAGAAAGAAAAGCTAGTTTAACACAGTTAAGAGTACTTGTCTATCATAATTCTATCCAGTTTGCGAAAAGGTTAGAATAAAATGCGAAAAGTTCTCTTTGCTTTTGTATCCTATAGTATATGTAAATATTACACTTTTACTTTTACACTGTAACATGGATATGTTTCTTACCATTCTGAGCAATTCGTCCACCACTGTTTCAGACAGAACGATCCCACTCGATGATACCATTGCTCCTCGTTCTTGTCCAAAGAGGTTAGTGACATCAACTTCGGGATCCAAAACCTCAGATTTCACTTCTGTACTTCGGGATGTACCTTCCTCCTCGATAACACCCGCTCTTGGCTCGAAAAGCGGTTCTCCCTTGAATTAACAATTTTACTTTTTCAGAAGTGACTCTGGATTAAACCCACATTATCGCTGGTTTTGTTCATTTGTAATGAGAGATCTCCATTGGACAAATAATCTGCAGAGCTGCAAGACCTCCGCTCATAGTTGCTAAAGAAAATTTTCATAAAAATACACAGTAGCTTGATGTTGCGAAGAAATTCACTATTATAGCGAAGTAAATAACATGTTATCGTAAAACTGATAATTCGTCCCTACAATTTCGAAAGAAACTATCGAAATTGTAGGGATGTGCTCCACAAAAAAATCTATGTCTCACCACAAATTTTCATTCTGATTGAGAAAGCTCATTTCTTCATAAAACTGCCATTTTGAGTTGTGATCTTCGAACATTTTGTTCTCGCGGACAAACTGATCCTTCAACTGCTTCCATTTCTTCTTCAATTGAGGCACTAAATTTTCACCCATAAATCGGTAATCTACTATCATACAGATGCGCACCGAAAGGACGACGAGGAGGAAGGGAAGAGTAGTACAACTAAAGTCGGCTGATGAGATACACATAAAAAAATGAGCAAGCAACCGGATTTTGTTACCAGTCGAAACCCCTCAATTTGTACCAAGTACCTTCAAAAAAATTTTGGGGCGTGAATGATGTCTGTCTTTTTCTGACAAGATTTCGGAACCTATTTGCAACCCAAATTTGAAGTGTGTCTCCCTTTCAGAAAAAAAGTGCTGAACCTTCCTACACAAGAAATTTCTCGACAACCAGAGCTAGGAAATGGTGAAGCTATCATGAACATACAGATGTTTGCTAACTGATCTGCTTTTCAAGCATATGTTTTGTTACATTTTTCTGTCTCTTTCTTGTTTGTTTGTTTCTTATTTTTTACAAAGGCATGATGTTCCCGGTTGGCTAGAATGGACAAATCAAAAATGCTTTTATTGGAGTAAATGTTACTTTCACTACACTCGTGAGAATTATCCCTGACCTTTCCTGTGATGGCGAGATTTTTATAGTTCTTTGTTTTTCGGGAATATTGAAGAAAACGACTACAATTATCTATCGAGTCAACGTCATCTACCAAAGCGTCTCTGTCTCAGGTTTCCATGGTTGCATGAGCGCGAAAACAATAGTCAGATGATTTCAATCTAATATCTGCCTATTTCATTTATTGAAAAAATTTGAAAATCTAAACAAATAAGGTGAAAACCGGGTTAGAAGATGCTTGAAAGATTAGTGGCAGAATGAATAGACGGAAAAGGCAAGATAAGATAGTATTCACTTCTTGAAGCAGATCTCAATATTCCAAAAAAAGCTTGCCAATGATTACAAAGATCAAAGACGTGCTTTATGCAAGGGATGTACGGTAATTACCAACTGACCAAACTGCTAAGGTCACAAGATATCGATAACCTGCTATCGATCATGTCATACTTCAAATGAAAAACTTTTCTACGCAAGTAGTTTTTATGAAGATCTGAAAGTCGTGTGACTGACCATTCTGCTTTAATGAAACTATTTATAACTATGATGTCGACTATCTTGCGCGTAAATCTTGAAACAATTGAGCCTAAATATCAGCACACTCATATTTAGCTTATGCCGCTCTAAAAAATCACATTTATGACTTCAAAAATTGTCCGGGTATATGTTGTAGAAAAAAATGAGCGCAAAGAATCATTGGTCATATTTCGCTCGTCGAAAACTTCCGGAATGCAAAAGATAACCATATAATGTCAGATTTGGCCTTTTTTATTCCCATATTTTGGAGTGCTTTGGACAACGTACTATGAGCTATGGGGCGCTGTCATTATGTCACGAGTCAATGCAATGATTGTTTGAGCAATAGACCAACACTGTTTGCCCAAGGCCTTTTTTAGGTTCTATCACACTTCAAACGAGGTATGACCAGCGAGAAAAGTGATAACTGACCTTATATGAGTAAGAAGGTAAAGAGCCTATGAAAGACGAAGAAAAGAAGGAGATAGCAAATGCAAGGTCGAAGAAAGGCAAAAGACCCAAAAATCTTTCACTTAGGTCAATTTGAGGGCTGAGATGAGTGAGAGGCTAGAGAGCTTTTGAGAGATAGTTTAGGAGATAGTAAACGGAAGGTCGGACAAAACATCAAAGACCCAAATTTCAGTGCAAGTCAATGAACTGTGCTAATGAGGAACGTGAGCTATGCAAAAAAAGCAAAAAAAAATCAAAATATATATCCACAAATATCATCTATTCTAAGACTAGACGTTTTAGATTATGCGTACGTCTGATTAACAGTTCGAACTTGTGGGCTAACGCGTATAGAGCAGGGTCCGGCACAGATCTTATGAAGACGAGCTGGACTTCGTTTTTTTGGGCGAAAAAGCAAAGAGGATATTGTTATTGTAGCCAAAAAGACGCAAAAATACCGATGTTTTTTTTTAGTCTTTTCAGATGGTTTGTGGTCAAAGGGGACTTCGTCAATTTTGGCAAAAGTCAAGGGGGACTTCGTTTTTAAAAGCCTAGAAACGGACTCATGCCGGGCCCTGGTATAGCGTGATCTACCACATAAAATTCGTGAAACGTGATCTTGGTAAAAGGTGTCTGCAACAATGATGTCGAGAATTCTAGTCTCAGAATGGATGAAATATTCCGAAAATGACTTCATCATAGGAATTTCAGAAGAAAATGGTGCTCATATGTTTTCATTCGAGGATTCTAAACTCCGCAATGAACAACAAGAGTGTACAAAAAAACAGATTGCTAAAAAAAAATGAAGAAGAGCGAAGATTTTCAAAATCTCTCATTTTCAGTTAACCCACATTCAAAAGTGTATCCCATAGCATTCATTCGTTGTTCGATCCTTTGCCAGGCCTCAGCGATGCTATGGCGTCTCTCGGCATCGGATCGATAAACGACACTTTGATTCCATATATTGGGTTCATCCCGATAGCAGTGAATAAGCATCACCTTCGACCTCGCATCCCACTCGTCCGGTATAATAGACATTTCTAAATGGGAAAACTAAAAAAGATGCAAGAAACAGTTTCCAAGAGAACTTACAAGAGCTAAAACGATTCGTGTAGGCGAAGCACAGAAGCGTCGGAACGGCGGCAACAGTCGGAGCGCGCTTGTGGCGGTCGATACACGCTCGCCAGCTGGCGCCTCAGCCAGCCGCGCGCTCCCTCGCCCTGTTGTTTTCGCACTCTGCCGCCGTTCGCGCCGCCATCTCGCCACAAAGGCCTCGTCGATGGCTACAAAGCAGGTGTGTCACGGGTGCGAGGCCACGTATGCCCTCGTAGTTGTGTGAAAGTTCAGATATGGTTGCCCTGCACGCTATAAAGTGACATAGAGCACTGTAAGTTCAGAGCAGAGCTGCGTTTAACTAGTAAACGCCGTACTCAGAATGTTCAGTTGAGTAGATCTTCCGCTTAACATAGTGTGCTTGCACTGAAGGTGAAATGCGGTGAAATTTGCGCGTGAACAAGTAGCCCCGCCAGTAATACCAGTCTTTTGCGCGCGCAATTGGCCGGCGCCACAGGCGCAGCTATTTGTTCACGCGTAAATTTTATCGCATTTCACCTTCAGTGCAAGCACACTATATCAAATGGAAACTCTACTCGACTGTAACTGTATTGCACAGTCGTGCCTAAATTCAGATATCCATCCTGAGACTGGGAGCCTCGAAAACGCTCCACACATATGTGATTAAAAAGCTCGAACTTGTCCAACTTGCATTTCAGTGTAGTAAATCACCCACTTGTGTGAGAGCACAAAAAATAAATTGTTTCCGGTTGTCTCGAAAGTTTTGTCCGTTTTTTCGATCGCTCATTGAAACTCACAGAACACCAATCCCTGGATGACTTGGATACTATTTGATTCAGATTTTTATCCCCTTTCTTACAGCTATATTTGCTCTCTGTGATCCGCTCTGTATTTGCAATGTTATCGCCATGGCTTTTTGAGTAGCTCAGCAGTAACGCCAACTCTTTCTTGAATCTTAAAGATTTTTATCCCAATGCTTTCAAAGAGCGTAGGTAACAGTATGTAATGCAAACCTTTGGCTATATTGTACCCATTTTAGATTACGTGGGCCACGTTTACCAAGTTCGTTATAATTATTTATTTAATAAGAACCGCGGCTTTTTGATTATGCTTACGACGTAAAAGTACGAAAATTCCAAAAAGCTACTTTTTCAAAGCAAATCAAACTTGGATGCTGCATAAATAATGTTCAATAAGAATTATGTTTCAATTCACAGAAATTGCAAAAAGCTTTCGTGTATTTGCTGCAGTTGCGTGTTTCATGACTCGGCCAAAAATCGAGACCACCGAAAAAATAGCTTTTTAAAGCTAGAAACAGCAGACCAGGAGAATATAAAATTATTGCCTTGTAGTCCAACAATTGCTCCTTTATCCATACTTAACCTTTCCCGAAACTTTGCAAAGAAATTTTTGAAAAATTAGCCTATTTCTGAGCAGATAAATTTGACGAGTGGAGGGTTTTGGCAATCATCAAAAAAAACATACAAGATTGTGGTTCGTAAATGTATCAATAAGAAAGAGAAGGAAAAGTTGCATCGAATGTAGGTTGAAACTCATTGAGTTTTTCATTGTGCGTGGTTGTATAACGATTTGAAAAAACGGAAAAACTTTCGGGACAACCTAATTAGGTTGGCTAAATGATTTTGGTTGCTTTGGCTCCTATAAGTGAACAGACAAATTTTTGAAGTGTTTGATATCTCTGAAGAATGCGTTTTAATGTTAAATGAAATCCAATTTTTGTTTGAGTGGATTTTCCTATGAAAAAAGCGCAAGGATTCTCATTGCGTGCGAATGTGAGAAAATCTCGTTTTTTTTTCAAAAAATTTCGAAACAGAGGATTACAATTCTTATTATTATTCTCTAGACAGAAAAAATTTATATGGAAAAACCAAATTACTTATCTCTATTACGTCCATCACTGCATGAAAACGAAATTTGAAAAGTCGAAGAGTTATTCTGGAAATTTAGCCATCTTCGGGTGTAATTTCCTTTACTTAGTAAGAAATTATGGTTTGCCGAGTTCACATACGCTAGAGTGAGTCAAATACAATGAGAACTACATCTCGAATCTATCCTAAAATCAGACAGTAACGACAGACAAGCTCCAAATGGCACACAGTGCAGTTTTCTTTCGCAGCTATGATTACGAATGAAAGTTCCACTAACAATAAGTGCTGAAATAACCGCAAAAGCTCTGAACCTAAGTTCCTACCTTTGAATTCTAAATCGCATGGCTGTCTCCAAAAACTATAAATCATGTATTAGGTTGTAAAGAAAGTTCCCGGGCACTTTTGGAATTTTTATTTTCAAACGCATTTTTTCGGCGCTCGATGGAACTTTGACACCAAGTTTTTTGTACTATTCATTAAAGGGAAGCCTAAAGTTTTCAGTACGCCTTCTGACTTTTATCGATGCCAAGTGTGTTTGATCTGCACATTAAGAAGAGAAATCTTCCCAACCACAAAAATTTCACAATTTTTCTTCATACGGCCATTTTTTTGTGCAGTTAAAAGAATTTCGTCCAACTCCTGAGTGATCTGGTTGAGAAGCCTGTTAACTCCTGACCCGCAGCTGCACTCGAGTTTTGCGGTCTGCGCTCAGAAATTACAAGCTGTCGAACTTGCCTATGACTGTAATTCTTTTCGCAGCTGGCGTTGCTTCTGCGGGGATCGCCACGCCTGGATGATGGGTCCAAAAGATGTGCAAGGCATTACTTCACCAATGTTCCCAGTAATCAAAGATTTGGTCCTTTCTGTGCAGAACTAGAAGACTTCAAATTCACTAGCTCGAAAATTGGTGCACTTTTAAGGGCAAAAAATGGTCGATTTTTCAAACTTTCTGGGGAAAATTTTTTTGTAGGTGGTCCTTCAAAAACATGAATGGTCTCCATAACAGCCCCAGCAGACCTCTATATGACGACAGCCTCTGGGCTTTCCAGCTCTCATCCTGCCTGAAATAATCCTGCACAAATAGTCCACTTTTCGCGACGACCATTTTCTCTTCTGCGCATGCTGGTGGACCGCAGTGAGGTGTTGAAAAGTCAGCAAGACAAATACATGTTGTAGACAAATTTGCCTTTGGAACGAAGTTTGTAGCTTCAAAAAGAATCAATCTGCTTGAAGTTACAGCGATTTGAAAAAAATTTTCGCAAGTGCCCGTAACTTTCTTTACAACCTAATATTTTGAGGCAGGAATATCAGTATCAATATCAGTGATATGTATGATTATATGAATATTAATTTCAATGATTCTGCGAGGTAATCAAAAGCACCGTCCACCCTAAATTAGGGGTCTTAAGCTTTTGGCAGCTTACGATAGCTCTCTCCCTCCCCCCTCCCCGGCTTACATCAAGGCGATGCCCGGGTCGCGCGGAGCAAAATGGAGCTTCGAATAGCGAAGAGGCATGAGGCCCAAGTCGGCACCGTGCCCTCCAGAAATGCCCCATCCGTGCGCGTCAATCCAATCACCGTTCCGGAGAGCCAACCTGCGGTTTCTCTGGAACGGGGATTGCCGAGGTTTTCGCGGATTCTCGACTTCATATTTGGAATCAGGACATGAGAAGACCCGAAAACGACCAAAACATGGAAGTCTCGAATCTGGGTAGACTGTGACTTCAAGCAATGCTTGACTACCTTGAAAATCGTAGATACTGAACAGTTTGAAATCATTGGAATCTCAAGGGTTTTGAAGATTTCGCAGAGATTTTGAAAAATTATTGCCTTCGAGATTCCATTTCGAAAGTCTAGTTGGAGAATACCTAAGTAAGACTTGCATTAAAATTTGGTGTATTTTTACGGAACCAAGTTCCTTTGAAGTCTAGCTAAATTTACAAAAGTCAAAAGCGAAATTCGAAATCTTGAGATTTTTAGAGCAGTTAAGGGATAAATCAGCTCGATTTCACAGGAGGAAAAAAAGCTGCACCGATGCCGTTTCAGAATATTCTACCGTTGTTTATCTATTCGGATTACGGAAGGGTTGGAATGGAGGATGACAAGTTCTTTTTATTTCTGACTCAACCTGATACAGTGGCTTACTCCTTTCTTCCTGTGGCGGCAAAAATTGAAAGCTTTACGTGCGCACCCGAAAGCATTCATTGCTTCTCGTAGTTCAAAGTCAATATCAGCACTGACTGTTGCTCGGAAATCTAGACATTTTCTTGATTCTGTCATACCTTAACTTTGAAGTAGGATTTTTTCAGGCATTCGGCGTTGCTGTTTGCTTTACCTAACTCGACTCATTAGAACATTGTGTTGTGCACATTACCGTTATTCAGTTATTTTTACTCTGGTCAATATTGCAGTCAAATTGCTTTTGACACCTCAGGTACTGTTAGTGTGCAATGGGCGAGTTGAAATTGCTAAATTTATGCAAGTGGTTCTTGAGCATGTTGACTGACTGAGTCGACAATGTGCGAAAGAGGTCTTTTTCGGTCACGTCAAAGGGCATGTTGCCTAACTTAATCGGGTCGCTCGAAATTTGTTCACGATATTATACTATATTATCAGTCACTATGGTGGAAAACCCCGATTTTAAGCCACCCTGCTCACCTCAAAAAATGTCGCTGCTGTGCAAATAAATATGATGTCCATGCAAGGTGGGAGTAACTTCGGCCGAAGTTTTAAAGGATTCCGTGATTTATGTTCATAGCTCAGCTAACTTAGAACCTCACAAAAACGTTGTACAGTTGTTTTTCAACCCGGAGTAGGCGAAACCAAGTGCGCGTCGCACCGCCACTGGTTCAGCGAGATAGATTACAATGAAGAGACGCAGACCGCAAAACGGTGCGAATCGTTGCGAAGCGGTTGTCAGGTTCAAGGGGTAGCTAGACCCTTGCCTGAAGATGTGGCAGTATTACGATGTATGGAACATAGTGATTAATATTTTTATTACTAAGGATACATTACTAAACAATAGGGGGGGGGGAAGGAGAAGGGGATGGTGAGTGTGAGTGTCCCTGATGGTCTCCAAACCTCTTATATGCAGGTCCGCCATACAACAACAACAGCGGTTAGGGCGAGGTAAGACATTGCATAACAACAAGTGATGTTACTCAATATTACCCAATGTTGTGAAATCTGATGAAATGATCTCATGACATCTCCGCTCTACAGAAAGCTTGTCCTCGAGCATTTTAACAGACTGGTTGAGATACTGATGGTGGTTGTCGTTGAGCTTGTCGTTGAGCTAGCGACTTGAACATAGTGGAGGTGGGACTGGGTGAGCTGTTGGCGCAGCGACCTTTTGATAATACGATCTCTTCCCATAGAGCCTTCTCCAGTAGTGTTTGAGGTTGACGTACAAGCTCTTCGTTGTACAAGAATAGACGCCTAACGTTATGCAGATCTTCGTTAAACTCGAGAACTTCCTGGAAAACAAACGCTTATATACAGCATCACACTCCTTCAACGTTACCTTATTCAAATTCATGTTCCTCCTACGTTCCACAATTCTGGTCTTTTCAGCGGCCTCCGTCTCACGCCTATTTTTGGCAACTAATATTCTAAAGTGCACTTGGCACTCCTCATAATTTTTCTGAAGTACGGCACACTTTAAACACGGTGGTGGGCGCTCCGCACTCAGTTCCTCAATCTCACGCCTGGCGATTTCCAAATCAGCTGTCGCTCTGGCTAAGTCAGCCTCTAGCATCGCGACACAAGACTAAAAAATAAATAATAAATAAATAAATAAGTTCCATTTCATAATTCATTAGATCATAACTCACTATCCAATCCTTCTTTACAACAGGTACCCTTGATGACGAGGCACGACGAATAACCTGTCTGATGAATGAGCAGCGCTTTTCCGCAGCTACGATGTATAATGATTTGTTTGCGAAAACAATGTGAAGCGGAGAGAAGCTTTCGGATATAGATTAGTGTACTTCTATATACCAGAAGTCTCTCGTTTAGTTTTAGTAAGAACTTTCCCGGGTTTGCGAGCGAGTCCATAGAATGAAAGAAAATTGCGATTGTACGTGATATTGAAAAAAAAAATAATAACTAGGTTTAGCTGTAAGATAACTTTTTTACGAATGTAAAGTTGCTGTGTATATATTATTATTTTTGTTTTAGTTACTTATTATGCATTGTAAGGAATAACTTAAAGTGAAAATGTTTTTTTTTGAGCTTGTTTAGCTGGTAAAGAAGAAGAGGGAAAAAAATTGTGTTCAACAACAAATAGACTTGACGTGCGTGTAAATTTGCTAAGATATCATTTCTATAAGTAGAGAAAAAATATCGGAATATTGCTTTTATGATTTGGGTTCTTTCTACAATATGTAAATAGTTGATTATAAAGGTACTCGCCCGCAGGCCTTTTTTTTGTTAGCAATCTTAGGATTGCGGTTTATTATAATATATAGAACTAGCTGGCTTACCCGGCTCCGCCGTATCCGGACCAAACTTGGCACACATACAGTTCGGGCCCCGGCCGGGTGTCACAGTCCACTTTTCGTTATCGATCGATGTCGATTTTACCGATTTTTATCGATTTTTTTGCAGAGATCACCAACGGGGCTGGGAGTTGGCACAGGGGGGGTAATCGAGCATGGGGATTCCGAATACAATACTAGTTTTCAGGAATATCGATTAGTTTTATCAATTTTATCGATTTTTTGTAAAGTTTGACCTGCGGAGCTGGGAGTTTGCACAGGGGGGTAATCGAGCATGGGGATTCCGAATACAATATTAGTTTTCAGAATTATCCATTACTTTTATCGATTTTATCGATTTTTTGTAAAGTTTGACCTGCGGGGCTGGGAGTTTGCACAGGGGGGTAATCGAGCATGCAGATTACGAATACAATATTAGTTTTCAAGATCGTCCATTACTTTTATCGATTTTATCGATTTTTTGAAAATTTGAGCTAGGGGGCTGGAATTTGGCACAGGGGAGTAATCGAGCATGCATGCTGATCACCCCCCTTGGGGATGATCAGCATGCTCGATTACCCCCCTGTGCCAACTCCCAGCCCCTAGCTCAAACTTTGCAAAAAAATCGATAAAATCGATAAAATAATCGATAATCCTGAAAACCAATATTGTATTCGGAATCCCCATGCACGATTACCCCCCTGTGCCAACTCCCAGCCCCGTAGCTCAAATTTTGCAAAAAATCGATAAAATCGATATCAATCGATGACGAAAAGTAGCCTATGACACCCGCCGGGGCCCGAAGTGTATGTGTGCCAAGTTTGGTCCGGATCGATTAAGAAATGGAATTTTCTATTCGGAACATACGTACAGACAGACAGACATACATACAGACAGACATACATACAGACAGACAGACATTCAGCTTTATATATAAGACTAGCGACCCTACGGGTCGCTAGCAAGCGGGTTGGGGCAAATCCATATACGAATGCTAATTTGGACTAAAAACTTTTACATAAACTTTCGCTTCACTGGAAGCTATTTATTCACACTGCTTCAACATCGAAACGAAAGGATATTATAAAGCAGAGAGAATGCACATACTAAAAGGATAATATAAAGCACAGAGATTGCAGATGAATAAAAGAACGGGCTGAAATATTTTAAGGACAGCAATGAGTAGGAAGACGCTATAAGCTAAAACAAGAAAAACAACAGAGCTTACCAAAAACGCATGTCGAACTTCAGTTTCTTTCAACTATAATATAATTTTCTCCTTGGAATGCCTAACTAAAGTAAAGGGCATCGTCTAATAAAACAAACTTTGATTTGCACTCGAACAAGTTGTTTACAAATCTCATGAATGATTTCAGTCGAAAGGTCAAAACACACAATCTATTATTACTCCAGGGTTACCAAACAACCCAAATACTTGTTAGCATCGAAATGCTGATGGAGCGAAAATCGAAGTATTGTTTCGTTGGAGGACGGTTGGCCGTTAACTTCTGGATAAACCAATAGCGCAGCTATCTCCTTCTTGACCAATCAACTTCACCAGCTAATACCCTCCCCGAGGCCAAAATCTCTTCTCAATCATTCAGCATTCACATCCAAATGTAAAATAGTTAAATGTTTGGATCGGACAATCGCATAGACGTAAGAAATTCCGAATTTAATAATTCTGACAAGAGCAATACGTGTTTGTCTGAAGGGGGGGGGGGGAGTGAGCATGCTGACTACGAGAACAGAAGGGGAAATAGGGAACTGGCATGCGAAATTGCCACGGGAAAGGTAGTACATTAAGAGGGATGGTGATATTTATCATAGTGTTTAGAAAGGGCCGGGCGGAACCGGGTATGGCAGGCGCTATTCCAGTATCCGGGTTCTTCCAGTTTTATGTCATAGATTTCGCTGACTTGGCCCAGAAAGTTTATCGGCCCACTGATGCCGAATGTGTTTGTTTGGTACGGTATCGTCATGTTGTGGGGTTACGGTGGGTTACAGTAGGAAGCTAAAATTACGAATTTCGTGAGGGGTGTTACTCGACAGGCTGATCACGGATATCATACTCTTTCTGCATAACAGAGCCTTTTCATAAAGTTACGGTACATTGGTAGAGGGTAGGAAGAAGAAATTTGAGATTTGGGTGGAATTTGGTCTAGAGGGGTTACTTAGCCCGCTGAACATGAATATCATGCTGCTCAAAACAACACCATCCTCTTAGATTGATGTGGGTGAACGGTAGATATCAAAGTTCCAAATTTGCTCAACACCTTGTTCAGAATGGTTTTCAAGCATGGCGATCAGGGATATCATGCTTGCTCGCTGCCATAACCCTACGGCGAAGTTATGATAATTTGCAGCGTATGAATAGGCATTTGTTCGCGTTTCGTGTCAATTTAGGTCACAAAGTTCCATCTGAAGGTCACATGCGAAATGAGCACGCATTCGTGATGGCAAGTCAAAGGATCGCTCGCGCACCAATTTTTAGGCATATAATCCTGACCCCCCCCCACTGTAAATTCAGCTGACTCCGCAAAGCGTCCAAAACACAGAGCGTATGACATGCGTGATCAGCATGTGAATCCTCTAAACCGTATTCTACCCGAGTTCAAAATTTTGTCTTCTACCCCAGACCTAATTTATAAAACGGCTCCATAATGCAGAAAGAGTTAGGCGTTCGTGAATAGCACGCCAAATAACACCCCTAGGGCATGTGTCAGCAAAAGCCGTGATTTTGACCTTCTTCTGTAGACCCATTGCCATAAAAAATGGCCCTACCCCGAGAAATCAATACGAAATTCGGCGTTAAATAACCCCTCTAAACCGAGTTTAGCAAAATTAACGACTTTGAAATTTGGGGGGGGGGGGAAGCTCCATATACTGGAATAGCGCTAAATAAAGTAATTACGGTATAGATTTCATCGAATATTTCACAATAAGTTGAGATAGGGAGGTGATCTGCGCTACCCCGACGATCATTGACACAAGAAATCGTAGAAGGGAAAATGTTTTTTAGCGGCACTGTGTAAAGACTATCACATTGATGTTCTGGCCTACTATAGTATACGTATAGTAAGCGTAATGAAAGAGCCTAACACTGTAAACAGATATCATGTTATCGCTCACGTCAGCTCACCTCAATAACAACTCCCCCTCCCCGAATCTTTAATACGACCCCCCAGGTGTGGCATGGCACACCCTACGTTTGACCCTGAATGTGACCATTGTCAAAAGATAAAAAATTTAACCCGGGAAAAAGAAAGGAAACTTATATACCAAGTACCAGAATTCCTAAGGTCTGCGCCCAGCTTTACTTTTTCAAATCGTCTCTACCATCTATACCACGCCAACCACCAATGGTCAGTGGCGTACCGAGGGGAGGGGGCGGGGGTTATAAAATGTGCAATTGACTTTTTACATTTTTAATTGATTACATTTTAGCCTCCATAAAATTTTCGGGGACATGGCGTCCGCGAAAATTTTAGGAAGCACACCAAAAAACTTTCAAGATGAAAGTAAAGGTTTTTTTTTGTGATGAAGAAAACTTTTATCCCCCCCCCCCGTAACTGAAAATCATGGGTACGCCAACGCTTATGATCTTTATCTTTCTTTGAATCAGCCCGCAAATGAAATTTTATTGAGACTGTAGATCGGAGAGTGGACATTTACGAGAGCAGAAGACGTTGCCAAAAGCTCCGCATACATGGCCTGTCCCAATCAAGATTCGTCTTCGGTCAACAGGCAACACTGGCAACACCCTACCATAACGGAACGTGACGAACTGCAAGCTTAAAAGCGAGCCTAGTCAAGAGTGGCAGAACACACAAGAACCCGGTCGTCTTTTGAAATAGAACAACTCTCATTTGGGGGCTAAAAACCTGCCACCACCCCATTTTGAGAAGAAAGCATGATCGGATGGTAGCAGAAAGCAAAGCCTCCCTTCCAAACTGATTCGACGCATAAATGCTAAAAGTGGTCTTCTCGCAGGCTGCTATGCACAATGAGAATGTGTAGCTACCCTCGGATGTCACAAGGAACTTATCAAACTTAACTGTTGTGAACTTGTGAACACTTGCAAAGACCAAACTGAAAAATAAAGTAAAAATTGCAAAAGAAACTTACAAGAGCATGGTTACAAAACAAAAGACCAATCTAGCAAAGTAACCAATAACTTCTATATCTTTACTGAATCACAACAAACAACATTGTATGCAGACCAAACCTTGAAGACAAAAAGAGAAATATCAGAATGAGCTCATTCGCCTGTTTAGCGAGACGTAGCCTGTCGACCCTGAAAACAGCAAATGACAATTAGATTTCCAAATAATATGCCTAACTGGATTACCAATAAGTACTGGAGGAAGAAATTTTGCACACAGGATATTACGTTCAACTAACCGCTAGGTACTGTTCCTAAACATGACAAGAGCTCTGTCCTAGTTGTAGCAGATCTTATCTTATACGAAACTAATTTCAACTCGAAATTGGCTGTAGTAATGTGGGGATACAGCTATCTCTATTGGAATGCAGCCTCAGCGAAATGAGAAGACGGAGGTGTGCGGTCATGGGCATGTGTATGGTTGAAGAGATCGAAAACGGACTAACCTGGTGGAGACTAACCTTGACAGATAAAGATGAGATTGAAAGACCGACGGTGATGATGGGTGTTAGTGGCGCTGAAAAGGTAACAAAAATTACATTTCCGTCAGAAAAAGAAGCAATCTTTCTTCATAACAAGCACAATTTGTTTCAAAATGCAAAAAGTACACTCCTCATGAAATTTAAAAGTGGTTTATACTGAATCAATCATCTCACAGATTTTGGAAAAAGCTTAGCGTAAAGATCGTATAACAACAACCTAGATTAGGAAGCTTACGTTTATAAATAAAAATTTTGGAAACAATGTATAGCATACGCTCACCCTCCGGTCCCTAGACCGACTTCTATCTCGACACTGACTTCGGCGATCGTCGCGGCGGTCCCTGTCGCGATCCCGACTTCGAGAACGACGAGAACTGGAAAAGTTTGATACCCTAAGTGAATAAACAAGTACCGAACGTTCAAATAATTAGCATTGAAACCCAAATTACAAAGCAAATGTCGGTGCTCACGCAACCAAAAGTAAGTTACAAAACAAATTCACCAACTTCCTTTTGCCTCTGCTACGATCTCTTCTTCCATGACGTTCTTTGCGATCCCTGTCCCTTTCGCGTTCTCTATCGCGGCTACCGCGGTCGTCTCGGTAATCATCTCGTCTTTTCTCATCTTCTTCTCTTGCAGCACGCTCCTTTTCCAGCTGTAGCTTCTTCTCCTTTTTAGCCTTGCTCATAAGGTCAATTTGTCCCCTTTAACCTCGTATAAGCCATGTGAAATTTGCCACTGGTGTGACCATCAATCCTGCTTTAAGCTCATTCGTGAGCATAAAGCATCCACACACCTAAAGACATAACTATCAAGGGAGCAGGCGTTCAAGCAATTCCATCGCCTCGCGATTCCCCCCACAAAAGTGTTACGAGCGCATTGCACGTCGCATCCTGCATTTCAGTTGTGATAGTTTCTCGATGCCACTAATCGCGATCAACTATCACAACCTAAATGCAATATGACTGGCATGCAATGAACTCAGAAGGATCGCGAGGCGATGAAATCGGTTGTGGTTGCTGAGGGGGCCACCCGTCAACAAGGGTAGTCTAAAGGTAATGAAGCCAAAAGTGGATTGGGTACCGAATTCTCGAAAAGCTGTTTTTATTTTTACAGTGAAAGCGGATTTTTGAGATTACCAATATGAAGAGTCTAATTTGAGGTTCATCACCTCTAGGTCACCCATGTTGATAGGCGTAGCAACTCCAGCAGCATCCAAATCCTGAAGCCATTCTCTCGCTTCGAAAACACCTTGTGCAACATGAGCGATTACTTAATCAGAAGCCTCGCTATTGTACTGCATCAAAATCTCAGCAACCTAAATTTAGATGACTGGTGCCTCGAACGCTTAGAGCAATCTCGTGATTATGTGAAAAACGCGGGCGAGAATGCACAATAAGAGGATCAAAGGCACATATAGATACGTTTTATCAAATTCAATGCATAGACCCGAACTCGCTTACCTGACAAACTTGCATCTGTTTGTTTCCAGCTGTAAGCTGCTCCCCCATAGTGATCGCTCTCGTCTCTCAAGCCCTAAATCCTCCTCTTGCTTTTGAAGATTTCTCGCTCTTTCTGCAATCATTCGAACGAAATCAAGTATTCAAAATATCATTTCCCAATATTGCCCCTTCCTGGCAAAAACTTATCGCAAACTTATCCGCCTTCTGCAGGCCTTTTGTGCTGTTCCAACGTTCCCCTGCTGTCCCTCAATCTGGAAAAATAAGCAGATATGATCAGGTAAGTACAGCAAAAGCAAACGATTACCTCAGCTTCTTGCATTAATCCTTCGGTCTTCCTACCAAGCACCTCCCTTCTTTCATTTATATCCTTCTTCTTCCTGTCACATACTTCACTGGACACATGCGTGTTGCTGATAGTAAATAACTTAACAGCAATTTAAAGTTGCTCAAGGTACTGGAGCAATGCTCGGACAAACTTCCAACACCTCGCCCCGATTCTTCACACCTCGCTCTGATTCTTTACTATTTTACTCTAGAAAAAACAACCGTATATACCTCTTGTATGTTCGAGGCGAGCTTCATTCTTTTCAATTTTCCAGCGCACCTCATTGTGCATACGATGAGCTGGAAGGATATTGTGAAAAGAACTGGCCAGAATTTGTAAATGAATGAAAAAGAGTGAAATCTCACTCACTCTCTCCAGGTACTTTTCCTCGCATCCAAGACGCCCATGTCGGTGGCTTTCTCGATATCGCTTCTTGAGAGCCTCGTCGTGAATCGGCTATAACTATTCCTTTAGACGTTGCTTTTAATTTGCATGAAACTTACAAATGGACAAAATCCTAGAACGTTTTCAGTGTTGCGGAGCTTCAGCCAAACAGAAGCCGACTAAAAAGTCACGGCAGACATCAGAATGGTCGAAGTCAATAGCACCACCCTGGACAATAGCTCTTCAGTCCTATAATTTCGAAGTGAAAGAAAAACATAACTGAGGTCCATTCAAAACAAACTCTCTCAAAATTATAAGAAAAAAGCCGATACCTCTCCAGGGAACGAGTTTCGCTGAGGGCCCATCAACTCGTTGAGCATCTGCGCCATATAATCCGTCATTTTGCCAGATGTACAAGTTTGCGAGTGGTGCTTAACTGGAAATATACATAATTATGATGCATACACTCGTGCACAAGGATAAAATTCCGCTAACACGATTTCTCAGCGGGAAATTTAATGATTCTGAGCAATTCTAACGCAAATGTCAAAAAATATCCTGCAGAACTCGAGCTTTATGAGGTGACAGCAGCTTTAAGACGTGCATGGTAGTACGATGTCAAAAAAAACATTTCCTGCGGTAGTTTGATGAAGATGTAGTCGGTGGGACGACAGATGCGAGTACGTGATGGCATGTGAATAAATGAGATTCAAACGATCAACAGAGAATGCACTTCACGCGCCAAAACGATTTTGTCGATTCTGAAAGCATGCCAGTCAGTTTGGTAAGCTTACAGAGGCTGTAACGACCAAACTTCTGTCGGCTTGTGCCGGACCCCACTAACCTTGCGGACGCTTTGCTAGACAACTATGAGTTACTCAGTCAGATAACTATGGGTTACCCAATGGATGTAAATTGTACGGCTCCGTACTTCTTCAAGAAGTGAAGAACCGAAGATAGAGGCTTTAATCAAAACTTTGCAAGTATTTTCCCGTTTGTGACTTTTAAAATGTTTTGCAGCATGAAGAGAAAAGGCGCTTTGCTTTGCATGAAAAGAATAAATAAATTATTCATTCCGAAACGAAGATATCAAATATACGAAAGAGCTGTTTCGTTAGGAACAGCATAAATTGTGCCTGTTCGTTCCGGACCCCGCCCACTTCTCCACTAAAGGCGACCTGGAAAGCTTCGGAAAAAGCGCGTTTTTGCCATTTTCATGCGCTGAAAAGCCCAAATATGGGTTCCTTGGGTCCTCCTTGGGTTCCAAATATGGGTTTTTTCCTATGGCGAGAAGGCTCCGAAAAGGTGAAGAACTGGAAAACGAAATTCTGGCGAGTGCCTTTACGCTTGTTGCCTTCCTAAAATATACCTAATAGCATCTCGAAAGACAATGTATTTGCCCAAACAAATGTTATACTTTCGCAACGAAATAATTGAAAGATATGCGATAACGATGTACCTTGTTTCAACGTGGAAAATCTTCTGAGCTTTCCACATAAGTCGTTGAAGATTACAAGAAGGCAACACGATCTTGGCATCACCAGTTGGAAATATTTTTCGAGGCAAGCGTCGATCTTCCTCCAGTTGCAAAAACTCAGCTTCCAACTGAGAAGTGAAGATTTAATACTATTCAATTATACATGTGACCTTCCTCAGAGATTATTACCTCTTTGGTAGCTTCAGGAGACGACTGCAACTCGCGAACAAGATCCTCCGTATAGTAGGTACTCTTAACGTCTTTTCGTCTGAGAGGTCATCCTAAAAACAGATAAGCATGAAATATGAGCAACTTCCAAGTAGAAGCAATCAAAAGAATGTACCTTGAGATCTCGCTCAAACAACGCGTTCGTTGGCTTCATAGTGGGCATGCCCTGATTTTCTACCCGCATGCCTCTAGTCCATCCTTTCCATATCTCAGTTAAGTCATCTGTACCAAAAAGTTTCCACCTAATGAAGATATGTCATGCACAAAATACACAGAAAGGAAAACTACAAAGACTCTCAGCTTATCGTCCCACCGTAATTGACCATTACGCTATCCACAACTTCGAACAAACGACGCTGGATGTATCCAGTTTCGGGCCGTTTTTACGGCAGTATCAATGGGACCCTAAGACCTCTCATAGCGTGGAAGAAGAATTCGGCAGGGGTAGCCTAGCAAGATAAGAGTTCTCCATAGATCTAAAGTAGACAATGAAGAACAGACTCTACACGACTTGCTATTTCATAAACCATTCGATTCTGGCTCATAGTCATCCTAGATAAAATGCGACAACGTGCGATGGCGGCTTCAACGTTTTGTTGACCGACACAAGCAATCACCTGAGATTTGATAGAACGTATGTATGGCAGCATAAAGTATAAGATATCATTCACTTGCCTGGAAGATGTCAATTTTCGATCCTTTTAAACCAGACACTACCATAGACTTGAAGTTGTTGAAATCTAAATACGTGAGAACTACTGAGTGTAAGATGAGGTTGAAGAACCTTCAAAAAGATGAGTGCAAAGAAGAAAAGTGTTAACAAATTAGCACGATGACGGTTAGCAAACACAATCAGCAATAAACCTGAACTAACCGGAAAGGGACTTTTGGGCTGAACTTCCTGTTTTATCAAGAGCGTCGTTCAAAATCCTGCTCACTTTATTTTCACAATCATTGCAGCAGCAGAGTGTTCAGAAGTTGTGATGAAAAACGGAGGTCCTAACGCGAACGAGAACGCACCCTGTGTGTCGTGAGCTCTCGTTCGCGCTAAGACCTCCGCGTCCTCTTGTTTTCATCATTGCACCGCCGCGTTCTCTCAACATTAAGGCCGCGTTCTGTCTCTGGCGTCTATTCAAAACACCCGCTGAAGCATACATGTGGGTGGACCATCCTCGCCGTCTCGTTTTTTAGGATCGGGTTTATATTATAGGAGAGGATTAGTAAAACTATAATTGAATATGAGGAACTTACGCATTTCGTTCGAACTTCCTTAGGCCCGTATGCACTAACATTTCTGCGGCGAGGGGAGCGGCGTCCCCCGTTATGAAGGGACCGCGTGCGGACGCCGTTGCGGCTTTTTCATCATTGGGGACGCCGCTCCCCTCGCCGCAGGGATGTTAGTGCATGCGGCCCTTAGTGATCAGATAAGGAAGGGGAAGAAGACATAGGGCGAAGGGATATAGGAGGAGGGTGGTGGGGGGGGGGGGTAAGATTTGTTTAAAAAAACGAAAAAATGGGTTCGTTCAAATTAAAAAAAAATTTTCTAAAGAAGGAATCCTGGAGAAAAATCTCCCCGGGACCTCCATGTCAGGTTCAAGGTGTAGCGGTGTTATAGGCCGTCCGCGCTCCGCACGGAGAGCAATACTGTTGCGTACATTGAAGGCAGTTCACGATTGGAAGAAGCGCAGAGAAAACTGGGGGCGAGAGTGCACGAGGAAAGAGGAGTGAAGCGCAACACACACCTTGCGCACTCTCCGCGCCTTGCGCGGACGGCCTATACGATGTATGGAACATAGTGATTATATATCTTTACTAGTTAACTTACCCGGCTCCGCCCGGCCCTGTCATTATTATATTCGTAATCAGCATGCTCGATTACCCCCCTGTGCCAACTCCCAGCCGCGTATCTCAAATTTTGCAAAAAATGATAAAATCGATATCGATCGATGACGGAAAGTAGCCTATGACACCCGCCGGGGCCCGAAGTGTATGTGTGCCAAGTTTGGTTCGGATCGGTTGAGAAATGGAATTTTCTATTCGGAACATACGTACAGACAGACAGACAAACTGACATTCAGCTTTATATATAAGATTACTAAGTATACATTACTAAACAATAGGGGGGATGGTGAGTGTGAGTGTCCCTGATGGTCTCCAGTCCTCTCTTATATGCAGGTCCGCCTTACAACAACAACAGCGGTTAGGGCGAGGTAAGACATTGCAAGGGCGAGGTAAGACATTGCATAACAACAAGTGATGTTAATCAATATTACCCAATGTTATGCAATCTGATGGAATGACCTCATGACACGGTTCCCGCCAGTCCATTTTGCGCCTAGACTGAGTAGAAACTTACTACACGCAGATTAATCATGATTTTTCGTGAACATTATCCTTGTGTGGTCTTTCTCGTCTCTCTCATACTGATCGACAATTCTTTCCGCCATCACAATACAAGATCAAGTGATGGTTTACATGAGTGACTTCAGTAACTGCACTTTGGTGACAATGACCAATGCTATCGTCGATGCGTTGACTACACGGACTTGCGCACCACGCACGGCGCGGCTGAAATGTTGCGAAAGCGCGATTCGTACAGAGCAATGCGTTTTACGAGGCCAGCGCCTCGTAGCGCAGTCACACATCTGGGATGGAGGACTATATGTCGCCGAATTTGGAAGAGCTCAGAAATTTGGAAGCAGGACAGCGAATAAACTAGGAAAGAAGAACGAAGAGTAGCTAAATCAAGGGCCACGCGGCTTTGCGCGACTGGGTCCCTGCATGCTGCAGCCCACGGTAGGTGGACGCAGGTGTGTGACTGCATTGAGCGGCGCTTACCCCGTCGAACGCATTGTACTTCGTCTCATCTCCCTGCGCGTACTCCGCAGCATAGTTGCGATAGGGGGAGTGATGGATCTCACCCCCTTCACTTTGAGGCCAAACTCCCGATGACCCCCTTCACCTGGGCTGAGATTGGTATTGTACTCTGAGAATATGACAAAAATCGTTATTAAAAGGTTTTGCAGGCTAAGTACCTCAAACAACAAGCACACTCATAAATTTACTGAAGAAACGGTATTTATATTTATTAATATTATTTATTTATCCTCGTAGCATTTTGGAGAGCAGAAAGTGAGGGCACAAAATCAGTTAATTTTTGAAGCACACAAAATCCCTCATATCTCGCGGCACAGAAGACCTAGAAAAAATTCGACGGTCTAATTCGATTCTCCATGATCTCAGCTTTCGAATGGTATACAGCATGTTAGGGCTTCTTTGCTTCCCGGCTCTAAAAATCATTTGCTCCGGTAACCGATAAAAGCCAATACATTGGTGGAGCCGGATTGGAGCAAGCTAATAGTAAATACCTCCACCCCATTTTTGAAAACTGGTCTGTTTTTTCGCCCAGCAACCTATATATCATTCGAAAGCTCAGGAAAAGGGGATTCGATCTAGACCGTCGTCTTCTTTCTAGCCCCCCTCTACCGAGAGATACACCTCATTTTATCTGAAAACATGGTCATTTTCAACAGCAGATTTCTGCCAAATGAAGACCTAATCACTGCTGATTATCTATCTGTGTTAAAGAGCAAGTCTTCATTAACAAACGCAGACCGTCGACTTTCTCGTAGCATTCATTTGGAGAGCAGAAAGTGAGGGCACAAAATCAGTTAATTTTTGAAGCACACAAAATCCCTCATATCTCGCGGCACAGAAGACCTAGAAAAAATTCGACGGTCTACGTCGATTTTACATGATCTCAGCTTTCGAAAGGTAAACAGCATGTTAGGGCTTCTTTGCTTCCCGGCTCTAAAAATCATTTGCTTCGGTGACCCGTAAAAGCCAACATATTGTATAGATCGTCCCGAAAGTTTTTGCGCACGATTTTCAAAAATTCATAACTTTTGATTTTTCCGACCGATTTGACCGCTTTCAATATTGTTTGAAAGGGTAAGTCATGCTCTTTATAATGACATCTCAGCTGCTTAGTAATGGTCACCTGTTACATAGATAGAAGCTCAAAACCAAAATCACTCAAAATTTGAATTTTTGTGTAGGGTCATAAAAAATCAGAAACTTGCAACAAAAATCGGAGCAGTCGGTATTGTAGGTTCTTTCACCAGCTCTTTCTAACAGTGCAAAGTTTGCGCCGATTGAGCGTCTCCATGAAAAGTTATGATTTCCGAGCAAACAATACAAAAAGGCGAATTTGATTTATTTTGGCATTTTTCAGGGAACTCATAACTTTTCATGGAGACGTTCAATCGGCGCAAACTTTGCACTGTTAGAAAGAGCTGGTGAAAGAACCTACAATACTGACTGCTCCGATTTTTGTTGCAAGTCTCCGATTTTTTACGACCCTACACAAAAATTAAAATTTTTACCATTTTTCTTCTATCGCTCCTATCTATGCAACAGATGACCATTACTAAGCAGCTGGGAAGTCATTATAAAGAGCATAACCTACGCTTTCACATAAATGTGAAAGCAGTCAAATCGGTTCAAAAATCAGAAGTTATGAATTTTGAAATTCATGCGCAAAAACTTTCTGGACGACCTAATAAGAGCGAGGTGGAGCAAGTTAATAGTAAAAAATGTGCTGTAGATTGACATCGTTATCAGCATTAACGGGAACGTGAGCGAACGCGTCTATTTGAGCGTCCTTATCGTTGTTATATGTTTATGTTTTTTTGGTAAAAAATGCGCTTTTGATTGACAGTTATGCCATCATTATTAGCGCACACTCAAAAAACTAAGGGAGATTGGTAAATTTCCACACCTTCACACAAAAACCTGCCCATTTCTGGAATCTATACTCTGTAAACCTAGTGCTGAAGAAGGTCACTTTCATGAAAGCGCTCTAGACTCACCTTACCTAATTTGTAGAGAAGGTGGTTGGGTTCAATGAATCAAAAACTTTAAGACATTCAGAAGAATAACATGTTATTAAAATATCCCTCAATGTTTTGGAAAGGTTGGCAGTTTGAAGAGGAAACGGCAGGCAGAATACTTTACAAAATCGCAGATGACTCGCATGTGTTCCAGTTTAATAGCCAGGCAGAAGGAGAATCTTACGCCGACGAAAATGTTGTCGACATTGACACAGAGTTGACAATTGAGCGAAACTCTCTAATTTTCTGCATAAGGAATCCAAGCAGATTGTCTAGTTTCAATGAGGAAATGTCCAGGAAGTCCATTGCTGATCTTCAGGTTGCTGAAGAATTCAAGGCTGCTAAATTCACAAACATGGATATGAACAAAAGGAAGGTGTTAGTACAAAGCATAGTTACTGCACTTAGATCCCGGCTGGAGTGCGAACCCAACTGTTTGCTTTATGCTTTTGGAAGTTATTCGCTTTGTGACATTATGACCTATGATATTGAAAAAAAAACCAACGCGCAGCATAGTATCTACTTTTTTTCGGCTATTCCGCAGATGCTGTTGAAGAAGAAGTTGAGCAGCTTTCTAATCAGCTAACAGGACGTATGCCAGAGGAGGAGGTAAAGCCAGAGTTCGACAAGGCCCAAAAAAGTATGCACGATTTCCTTCCCGTGTTGCGAAAGCATATGCGATCTGGCTTTTTTCCCATTACTTACCGCAAAAATCTGA